AATAATGGTGGGTGGAAAGATAAGTTTGGGTTTTTTCAAATTTGCATGGTGGGTTGGGAAGATAAGGTGGATGAGGAAATAAGACAAGGGGGTGGAAATAGCAGCACTCAAATCAAAAGGCCAAACTAAATTCAAATGAAATCAACAACTTACCAATATATTTTGTTGCTCTACCTTGATTACGTCTCCTTGCCAACTGAAGTCACAATACAGTTCTCACTCAATTGATTCAAGTGTTTTATATTTCTCCCCTCATCTCCAAGAATATTTAATGCAATATGGTTTATTAGTTAAAACAAATGAAAATTAGTAGATAATAATGCATGTGTACAAATATACTTTTTCAGAATGACCTAGTGTAGTGTCTTACTGACAACACCCGACCCAAATTCCACTTTGGAAACTAAGCCGAACCCTGTGCGTGTTTGACACTTGGCAGGTGCCGAGCATTTTTTACCAAAATGCCCTTCTAAGTTTCCCAAAATTCTTTTCTTCAAGTTTGACTCCTGTCGAAAATTCGGCAGAGTCTCACCTGTAATTTGCTCGTTTCCCAAAATTTTTACCTGTATAAAACATGATTTTATAATCCCAACGGTCAGCATGCACAATAATACCATTCAAGCGACCAGACATCAAATCTTTATGGCCTCAGGCCTCTCAAAATCAAATAAAATGTTCTGTCAACAGAAAATGATCCAAACTTTTGAAACAACATGAACACGTTAATAGATTTCAAAATAATTTAACTGAACAGCTTTTCAATCACTTAATCTCGCAGCTGCACCTAGTAACTCTAGGTTGCCTATATACCCTTAACAAGGGATCAAGCCACACGTAGTTCTTTCTCTTTTTATATTGCACTTGTATGTCCTGTTAATTGTTATTTTTCTCTTTTTCATTGTCTTTTACTAGAATAATTTAATAATTAAATAATAATTTAGGATCAGGTTATTACAATCTACCCCCCTTATAAAAATTTCGTCCTCGAAATTTCATAACTGCCACTCGAATAGGTAAAGAACTAGGCTCGCACTTGCTCCTCGAGTTACCAAGTGGCTTCCTCAACAACTTAATTTGACGGGGACTTAACTTTCCACGTTTTTTGAACCTCATTACACCTTCCAAGGAGATAATTCCAAGAATACTCACTCACCAACTGTAATTTCAACATCCTTGGGCCAATTGTCCTTGTAACCCTTCTATTTAATTAGACAAAAGCTCACTAGGTCTAATACCCACAATTTTTTTTAGATTTTATGATGAAGCTTCGATCCGAGGTTCACTCGGTTTTAAAACACTCCAAAAGCTGGCCTTTAAAACATGTATATCACCAAAGTGCAAACTTAAATGCCAGGACTCTAGTACCCCTCCCGAAATTTGTTCACTGTTAAGGATAACACAAACTTCACCTTTTTCTAGAATCCCTATTAGATTAGTTTCCTTTTCTAAGACTATTATTTTCTTCTTTCTTTAGAATTGACGGACAATATTGAAATTATGATTTTTCGAGAGTAATACCAAAAAGGATCTTTTTATCGATTGTAATCATCATCCACCTCACCATGTTTATAGGCAACCTTTACCCAACAAAGACATATTGAATAAAACAAATAAAACACTTTCATAATCTAATATTTATAATAAAAGATGTTATTCTCAAGATCCCATTTTCAAATATTCATAGGTACCCCAAACTCATATATATAATAGTAAAGACAAAATTAAATGTGCCTCAACCAACTTAGCTTGAACTACTTGGGTTTATTTTCTGTCTCTTTCTTCTTCAAACACGAATGAGAAATAACAAATTCCAGACAGTCATGAAAGTTTTATCCACCAAAAATATACTCATGATCCTTCAAATAAAGTGAAAATAAATCAAACATCTCTCGAACACCCTTAGCTCAAACTAGTCTAGATAAATGAAGGCATATGCCAGTGTCTACCATACATTAGCACCTTAGAAACACAACTTAATAAAACTCAAGACTCATCAGCTGTCTAAAATTTGCATAATTAAAGCTTGCCATCACCACCCAAATTGCTTAAATAATTTAGGTTGACTCATAAATAGAGTGGACCACCCAATACTGCCATATGGATCTCAAGCACTTAAAAAGTCTTCCTCTGCAAAGAGTTTTAAGATGTCAACACATACAATGTATACCAATGGCCAACATAAGATGGTAAACTTCCAAGCTCAATATATCTCCGTCTTCCAGACTATAGTCAAACAAATAAAAATAAAAATAAAATAAAAATAAAAAATGGAATAATGTCTGCAAGTAATATCAGGGTGCTGGCTAGAATGGGGTTCCATTAATCTAGTCATTCTAAACCACCCTCCTTACAATCTTACAGTCAATTCTATTAGAATCAGCTCAAGTAGACAAATAGTTGGACAAGATGAAACCTACTCCATAGAACAATATTTCATCCACCGTTTTTCACAAGGCAAAGTTTTGCTGGTCTAACAACAACGATACAACATACCTATCTTCATTACATTTTACAAAACCCATAATCATGGACAAACAATACATAGTGGTGTTCAGCCCTATGAAATATAGGTAAGATATAGTTAATTGGTGTTACCTGTGCACCGCCTATAGAGATGAGAATGTCTACCAGCTCATGTATCAAACAAGTTATCTCCTTTGGTGTACTAGAATTTATCACCGAATAACTCAAAGGCCTATAAAACAATTGCTCTTGCGACCCTATATAGCTACTGTTGAATTTAATATTCATTCAACAATAAAATAAATACAATTTAGTAAGTTCATACCGACCACCAATGGCGGATCCAGGAATTTTTATAGGGGTAGGCTAAATATTTTGTTTTTTAGAGGAGATATATTATAAGCCTTTTTTCTCCTGAAACAAAAATGTAAATAAAATTTTATAAATCAAACAAAGTCACATTACAAGCAAATATAACACAACAATTAAAATTGGAAATTGAATATATATATAAAAAAAAAAAGAAGAGAAAAACTTACCGAGATTGAAGAACCCACTAAAGGTAGGTTGGTACAATTTTTTAGAGAAGGTGAACTATTTCCTCTAGGCTCTCAAGGTTCAAATATGGCGTTTTGGGTGGCTAGAAGAATTTTTTTTTTTATGTTTGCTCTCTGTGGGTGTAGCCCAATATCAATACGATTAGAATAGGTCAAGTTGGTAGAGCCTTAGCGTGAGTTCTACTTCTAATCAAATTTATATAGGTTTGGATTGATGTTTATTATTTCCTATATGCTTCAAGAGTGGGCTTATTTTAAATAAAGCTATTATTTACTTTACTTAAATTGGGCTATTATTAGTTTATTATATTTATTTGGTGTAGTGGGCTAATATTTATTAGAGTAGGAATAAACTTAACTATATTTAATATTTTAAAATTTTCCCTTTCCATATTTAATATTTAAAAAATTTCCCCTAGTACGTCCGCCCTTGCCGACCACGGAATTGGATGATGCTATTCCATTGCATCCTTCGTTGCAAGTAAACCTAATAAATGAAGTTATTTGAGCTTTAATGAGTAGGATCACAGGACATACTAGGCACAGTACATGTGCGCATGAAATGTACCCTGTTTCGTGAATTTTTCTATTAAAGAACTTCTAATTTCCACTCCTGTCGATCGCGGCATTAAAGCCCACGCGAATAAAATAAAATAACATTTCACACAAACCACAATACTTCCCAATTTGGGTTCGCCACCACTCATAGTTGACTTTTGTAACCCCGAACATAATGTTCACCACGTTTCTAGGGTTATGAACTTACGAAACATCCCTAATACAATTTGTGACGTCCTTTACGTCGAAGAGGCATCATTTTACAACTGAACATGCCACACTGCCAAACTTACGGATGCACACCAGGTGCGGATTCCACAGGAATTTGAACCTAATGCTCTGATACCAAGTTGACAGGACCCGACCCAAATTCCACTTTGGAATCTGAGCCGAACTATTAGTATGAAAATTGTATTGTCATTTCCTAGACTCTAGCATAGGTTGAAAATTAGTGTGTGAAGAATTGTTACTGGATGTTTTGGCACAACTCATTCAACTGCATACTTTAGAGGCACGACTTGACCATATGAGAAACTTGACAACAGGTAAATCATGACATAATCATGCATTCATTATAGGATTCCTAGTTGGAATTATTTTCACACAAGTATTTTTATGTTAATCCTATTTTTAATAGGATTAGATAGTACATAAGCTGACAAGTTTAAATAGGATTCTAAGAATCAAATCTGATATATTGCAAGAGATTGATCACGTGGGCTTTGTGGACTTCTCTTGCAAATAGAAGATTATGTCTATATAATTAAACATGGTGTGCCTCTCTTGGCGGACAGCTTTTATATTTTTGGTTGAGCATCTAAAATTCCTACTAAGCTGTTGTGCATATATTTGAGATAAATCATTAAGTGTTCCATGTTTACTTGGTGATTTATCAAACACTTTCATCATTCATATTGCATTCATGTGCATGTCGATGACGCATACGGTTGAGGGCACCAAGACCGTGGTGGCGGTTTTCCTCCGGCGAGCTTGAAGCAATCGTGACCAGTATTGCGTTCAACATAAGGAGTGTCGAAGATCATCCCGTGACAGAAGTTGAGTTATGAAGAAGTCGGTAAACATGATCTAGAATGTGTCTAGGATAAGTGTGTGATTACTTATTGTAATCATCATTCTAAAGTGAATTTGTGTTTGACTGAGGAGTCCCGTGGATTTTCCCCAGAGGTGGGGTTTTACCACGTAAAATAATTCTCGGCGTATTCCTTTGTTTTATGTTCAGCACATTTCAGGATTGACAAGCCATATCAATCATGCTGCCGAAATTTATTTTTTGTTTATTGATTATAATCTTAAATTGGCTTATTAACCCCCTCTAGGCATATATAGACATCCTACAGGTATTTTCAATTGGCATCAGAGTAGGTTGCTGGACATACTCAACAAGATCTAACATACCTCAAGATGGATCGTGCCGTAGGTTCTATTGCACATCCCCCATACTTCGATGGCCACAACTATGGTTCTTGGAAGGCTAAGATGAAGTCGTTTCTTTGGTCCTTAGATGAATGTGTATGGAATACAGTGGTTCATGGATTTCCTAAACCCACAAAGAAGATCAGAAAAGGAGATGAAGCAACCACAGTTGTCAAAACCAGAGAGGAATGGACCACTGAAGAAGTCGCACATAGCACTAATAATCAAAATGGGTTAAATGCTTTATTTACTGCTGTTTCTTCTGATCAATTTGAATATATATCTAGTTGTGATACTTATAAGGAAGCTTGGGATATTTTGCAGGTTACTCATGAAGGAACAGATACTGTCAAGGGAGCCAAGCTTCAAATGCACACTTTACAGTTTGAGACACTCATGATGGATGAGAATGAAACTTTTTCTGAATTTTATGCTAAACTTTGTGTAATTGTGAATGCTTGTTCAAGTTTAGGTGAAAAAAATTCCAGAAGATAGGGTTGTGAAAAAGATTTTGAGATCCTTGTCTCAACGGTTTCAACCAAAGATCACGGCTATTGAAGAGTTTCGTGACTTGAACACCTTGAAAGTTCAAGATCTCATAGGGTCCATACAAACCTATGAGATGAAACATCTAGCTCCTAAAAAGAGCAAAAGTGTTGCTTTCAAGGTTGTGAATGAAGAAGATGATGGGCATTCAGATGAAGATTGCAGTGATGAGGAATTAACGGTTCTCACAAGACGATTCATGAACTTTCTCAAGAATCAGGATTCAAGGAGTCGAGATTCAAAAGGTATAAATTCTAAAAATAGATTTGTTAACTATACTGATGGTGGGTCTAAATTTCGCAGGTCAAATGAACGAAAGAATCCAAGAGAAAAGGTCAAATGTTTTGAATGTGAAGGCTATGGACACATATCTTCGAAATGTGCTAACACCTTAAAGAAACAAAAGGATGGCAAGAATAAGGCAATGCATACTACTTGGAGTGACAGTGATTATGACTCTGAAAATAATGAGAAGTCCATTGCTCTTATCACGACTGTAAGCTTGGATGAACCAATGAAGAAGGATGATGATTGTGAAGATATGGATGTTAAGTTTATCATGAACAAATATGATGATTTTTTGGCTGCGTCTCAGAAACTTAGCAAACAAAATGAAGAGCTCGTAAAATCCATGGCTGTGCTGAAACTGGAAAATTGCAGGATTGCAAACGAGTTTCAATCCCCTGACACGGATTCCAAAAAGGTAAGTGCAGGTATGAATGAAAAATTGATGTTTTTGCAGAAAAAATTGACTGATCAGAATAAATTAATTGCATCTCTAACTTCTGACAACAAAGCCCTTGAACTTGAACTTAAAAATTTAAAGGAAAGGATTGTTTCTTTAACCATTGGTGCAGAAAAATTTAATAGGATAATTAGCATGGGAAGAAGAGATGGTGACAAACGAGGCTTGGGATTTGAACGAAGTAATAAGTCTTCCGCTGTGTCTAAAACAAAGTTTGTCAAATCCTCTTCAATTATTGAACCTTCTGCAACTCATGAAGTCAAGAAATTCATTCCAATTTGTCACTTTTGTGGAACTCGTGGGCATATAAGACCAAGATGCAATAAGCTTCGAAAGGAATTTGTTAGTTCAAATTCTCATGTCATGGGTGGAAAAGTAAGTATCCAACATAAGATTTCAAATCTTATGAAAGAGGTAAAACGCTTATCCAAACAATCTTCTTTTCATTATTTGCCATCAACTAAGACAAAGTTAGTTTGGAGAAAAAAGAAAAATCATAATTGTATGTTTACCTCCACTAATGTTGTGCATGAACGCACTGCTTTAGAAAATTTGGATCTTAAATGTCTTGTTGCAAAACCTTTAGATAATCTTCGATTTGACACTCTTAGAAAATCTTTAGGTATTTGTTCTTTTGAATAATTGTTTATATGCATGTCAAAAGACTCCAGCTATTCTCTTCTTTGTTTTTGAAATTGGTTTAAATTCTAAGTACTTTGTTCAGCACGTGCAGGGATTGATAAGCGATATCAATCCCACTGATGTCTGGAAGTTTTTGCTGATCTTAGATTGGTTTTTTGGCGTTGGATCACCTTTTGGACATATTAATATTGGGTTTATGTGAATGGTTCTCAACTGTCTTTGTTTGTTATAAGGTCAATTAAATGCTCTTTATATTAAATCTCATGTCTCACATATAGCACATACACTCTAATCTTGCTTAATAAATTTGAACGAATCCTCACCTTGCCCTTGTCTTGATACTAGATTTGCATTGTACTTTTTGCTACTGTGCTCACAAATTTATAGACATCTCTTTAATTAAAAGTAAAGTAAAATAAGTGTATGATCCTTGCGAAGTAACCGGGCCTCTTGTCTAACCAACGTCGAGGTTCGCATCAAAAAGCTTTGATTGTGTACACGTTGCTCTTCTTTGTAGCCTACATGACTCGGGTTAGTACATCCTAGGGGTGCTTTAACACCCATTGTCTTAAAGTCAACTGACTTGAGCGCATTGATTTAACACCCGTTACATGGGTCTTGTAGAAAGCTTGATAAAGTTAGCAATTAAAAAATAATTATTATTAAAAAAAAAAAAGGGTGAAAGTGGTGACCTTTGTATGCATTTTGTATGTGTTTATTCTATGTTCTTGGCTTGCTCTTGGTTGGATTTTTTCTTTGTTATTAAGCAAGTTTAGTCACATAACACGAGATTGGGTTTTGATATTTGCTCACACTACTACAAAAAAGGAAAAAGACGACGGGAATTCACCGTCGTGTATCAGTTTTTCAAACCGTCGTGAAATCAACTGACATATTTTCCAAAATAAAACCACGACGGTAAATCCCCGTCGTTGTTATAACAAACAACGTCATTAACAAATAACAACCAACGTCTGTATACTGAAAAATGAGCCAAAAAAATTGTCAAGGATAAGAATAGACGACCTATTTTAACAAAAAAACGTCGTTTAAATAAATAAAAGAAACGTGAAATTCAGTTATGACGTCTTTAAATAAATAAAAGACGACGTTATTAGAACATACTATGTCACCACTATTTATATAACTGTCATGAAAAAGATTTTCCACTTCATCTTTTCCATTAATATTGACGTGGAAATAGCGGTTAGGGTAATTACTTACGACACATGTATTTATATAGACGACGTTATATTTAATAAACAACGTCGTCCACAAATAAAAGACAACCGTGTTTCAGAATTTATACGTCATCTTTAAAAACATAACCGTTGTCTAATATATTTTAAACGGCACAAATTTTCAGTTGATCGCCGTATAAATTTATATTAACAACATGATCTGAAAATAAACGACGTCGAAAATATGTTAGGGTCATGACTCACGACATATTATTTCTATAAACGACGTTGTATTTGATGGACAACGTCGTCATCATGTTAAAGATAGCCATGTTTCTAAATTTATTGTTGTCTTTACCAAAATGACAGTCGTCTAATCTATTTGAGACAGCAAAGTTTGTCAGCCAATCGCCATGGAAAATATTTTTAACGACATAAGAATAAAAAAGAGACGCGGATATTCCCATATAACGTTGTTTTTGTAAAAGAACGACGTCCAAATATCACTTTACGTTGACAAATTTACCTCTGAATTTCAAATAATGTCGTGAATTGTTCTTTTTCCACTTCGTTTATGACATAACAAGCGACGTGGGAAAATTTAAGACGACGATTTTTGAGTTGTTACTGAAGAGTTCATGATCTAAGACGTCAGCTTTTGTACAGTTCAGGTTCGATATCTCGCCTTTTAGACGTCGGTATTATGTTATTGGAGTCATGTTATTTGTAATTACATGTCGGCTCTTTATGCTTCTCCGACGTGATATCATTAATAACTGTTTCACAATACCGTCGTGGTTCTTCATTTTTACATTGCTTTTAGACGTCGGTAAATACGTTGCCGTCGTTGAATACTCCAAAACGTCATTTTTGATTGACAATTTTATTAAAACAGACGTCTGTTTTTCACAGTTTTATGAGGACCGTTGTTTTATAATACTGAACCAGTATTTTATGTACTGATTGTTTTGTGTCCAAAACCTGCATAATGAAAGTGAAGAAAACACATTACAATTTATTACAAAATTAATGTCATACAGTAGTGCCGTTTAGGGCATAAGTAATTTCATAAATTACAAGAGCATCATTCAATCCATATATCTTCACACCTATCTCGAATATTTTGACTCCCAAACTCACCCACTAGTTCATCAAATGTGTCAACATTTGGCATCCCTCTAGTAAATGGCTCATACTCAATTCTCACATCACCTAAGACATCATCACCAATAACATCATCATTATATTCTCTATTAGGCGCTGATAACACTACCGACCAACCACGATGCATCGGGTCGTCAACAAAAAATACTTGTTTGACTTGAGAAGCCAAAACAAATTGGTCATTCCTATGTCCAATTTTTCTCAAATATACAAGGGTAAATCCAAGTTCGTCGACTACAAGGCTCGCACCTAAAGACTGGGATTGTAAACTTTTGGTAGTCAAGGTCCCAAATTTCTTGAATGACACCATAAAAACCCATATTTGAGAGAATTGGGTTTTTATCCTTGGCACTAGCAACTTGCATGGTATGTGCAAGTAAATAAACTCCACTATTTTGAACTGTCCGCACATCATCTTGTGCCTTGATGATAAATTTAACACCTTTAATAAGATAGCTCCTATATGATGGCACTGCCATGTTTGGACCAGCTGCTAGCCACCTTAAATTTTTTGATACGCCATGATTGTCTCCCTCATTAAGTTCACTTTGAACCTGCAAATTAATCATATCTTAATTCAATCTAACATAGAAAGAACAAAATTAAAAGTCCAATATATGTTATTGAATAACATATACCTTGAAGCGTAGCCATTGAATGAAAGTGCTATTGTGTTTATCTTGCAGCCACTTTGTTCTCTTTCTAAATTTTGGATAAGCGGTCTTGATGTGAATCATATGTTCCCTACATGACACGAAAAATTCAAGCATTACGGTCCCAAACATATAAGATAAACATAAGGAATAATTTAAAATGGAAACTTAAAGAATAAAACTCATACTCGATATAAGGTAGGACTTCCTCCGTATTCTCCAAGACATATAGATGTGCTTGGTTCAACAGGTCCTGATCAACTAAGCTCACTGTGCAACCTGATAATGGCTTTGAAACTCCTATCTTCTGACTTGATTGCACTCCAATTGTACTAATATTAGATAAATGTTCGGTGCAAAATTCTACAGCTTCTTCAGCTATATAACGCTCAGCAATGCAACCTTTGGGATGAGTACGGTTCTGAACATACCCCTTTAGAACTTTCATATATCTTTCGAATGGATACATCCATCTAAAATATACTGGCCCACATAGACGAACTTCTCTGACAAGATGTACTTTTAGATGAACCATGATATCGAAGAATGAAGGTGGAAAGTATTTTCCAAGCAAACACAAAGTAACTACTACATCTTCTTCCAACTTATCTAGCTTGGACACATCAACTGTCTTTGCACATATAGCATTGAAGAAGAAGCACAAACGAGTTATTGCATACCTTGCAGGCTTCTCCAAAACAGAACGAATTGCCATAGGGAGCAATTGTTGCATTAAGGTATGACAATCATGTGATTTAAGGCCAAGAAGTCTTGAATCTTGTAAAGATACAATATTTTTTATATTTGAAGAATAACCTTCAGGGACCTTCATAACATAGAAAGAATTGCAAACCGCTCTCTTCTCTGCTCTTGACAAATTCCAAGGCCCTGGAGGTAAACGAGTACGTCTTTCTCCATACTCGGGTTGCAAATCAGTTTTGACCCCCATGTTCAATAAATCTAACCGAGCAGCAATCCCATCTCTATTTTTTCCAGGGATCTCCAGCAATGTACCAATGAGACTATCACAAACATTCTTCTCAATGTGCATAACATCGAGGACATACCTCACTGGAAGGTATTTCCAATACTCAAGATCAAAGAATTTTGACTTCTTCTTCCAACAAACTCTGTCACCATCATTTTCACCTCCACCTCCCCCTTTTTTTGAGCCCCATATGTAATTAAGATCTTCAACCATATGCAGCACTTCTTCTCCAGTTAATAGCTCGAGAGGCGTGCCATATTCAGGTTTCCCATTAAAAGCTGCACGCTGCCTC